CTCTCCTGGTCACAAGGCAACTGGCCCGGTATTTACAATTATCTTTCAGGGAGGGATGATTGAGCACAGTGCTACCATGATACATTCTGCCACAACCTCATCCTTCCATTAGCTCAGGCAAGTCTCTTGTGTGGCCTCCTGGCCCCCCTAGTCTGCGTTAATAGAGAGCAGGGACTTAAGGAATTCAGCATGGATTGTCAGAGTAGCAACACAGCCCTTACACTTAATCTTTCTGGGTTTTGGTTTTTGGTATATGTTTCTTGACATGTCCATTGCTTAATTATAGAAATGTGATTAGGTTTTCCTACTATGAAATGGTTAAACTATTCATTGACAATTGAGAAGTACAAGGGTACTTCAGAAAGTTCATGGAAAAATGGAATTAAAAGAAAATACACATCTTTCCATGAACTTTTTGAAGACCCCTTTGTATATAGGCTGGGAAATCAATTTTTTAAAAAATGATTTAAATGATTTGGAATTATTGCGGTATCATTCCACACAATAAAATCCACCTGTTAAAAGTGCACAGTTGAGTGATTTTCAGTGCATTTATATGGTGTGCAGCCACCACCAATATCCAGTTTTAGGACAGTTCCATTACTCCCAAAAGTCACTCTGTTCCCATTCAGTGTCCCTCCACATCTAGCTCCAGGCAGCCATTTACCTACTTTCTCTTTCTATGGATTTGTCTTTTCCAGAAATTTCATATACAAGGAACCCTACAATACGTAGTCTTTTGTGTCTGACATCTTGCACTTACAAAGTGTTTTTGAGATTCATCCTTACTGGTGAATGTATCAGTGATTCGCTTTTCTATTACTGAGGCATTCCACTGTATGGATTTACCACATTTTGTGTGTCTCTATACCAGTTGATAGATATTTGAATTCTTTCAAGGATTTGACTGTTTTGAATAATGCTACTATGAATATTTGCATATAAGACATAAAAAAAATTTTTTTAGTAGGTAAATATCTAGGAGTTGAATTGTTGGGACAAATGGTAAGATTCTATTTAGCTTTTTAAGATATTGCCAAACTGTTTTCCAAAGTAGACGTACTATCTTATGAGTATATTCCCTTCAGTTTATCTACGTCCTCACCAATAGTTAGTAGTCAGTCTTTTTTTTTTATTATAGCCAGGCAATAGAAAAGGGAACCTCTACAAGCCTCACTTTTGAAGAAAGGGATGGTATTACTTGGCTCTCTGTGTTATAGGATTGCTCAAAAGATCAAAGGAGATGGGAATTTATGTGCAAGTGCTTTGTATTGCAAAAACGTTTCTGGTGATTACGTGTAGAAACATTTTTAGCTGTTAAATTTAGCACTCACATATCCATCTCAGGATGGAATATGAAGATGAAAACTTTTCCAAGTTTTAATAAAACTTGTATTTTATGATCAAACTTGTTCCACCTTCTTATAAAGGCACTTTTTTACTCAATTTGTAAACGTTCTCCATATGCTACGTAGCTTGTATTGTGTGTTAAATTATCAGCCTTATTTAACAATGACAGAATGTAATGGTTTGCATATGGTGGGCAAATTTTCCTTCCCCACTCAAACTTGGATGGTCTGGTACATGTCTGCCTGTGACTTCATTTTCAGATGATTGTGGGTGGCCTCTTTTGGACCTGGGCATATGTGTTCTATTCCAGTAGAATGGAAGTAGAAAGATTGGGGGTTCACTAAAACCACCAAGAGCAATCTGTGTAAAAATATCCATTTCAGCAGTTTTACTTTGCAATTCTCATTCTATGGAAATTGTCAGTTTATACTTTTTCAAAGAACAAAGAACAAAGGGAATGTTTTGAATGCATTTTCCTTTCTACCTATGATAGACAGCTATTTACTTTAGATCCAGGGGCCAGTGTGCTGTAGATTTGAAATCTGGGCTGAATTTCATACAACTTGCTTATCAGCACCTCTTCGCACCTGTTGGAAAAGACCTTTGGACTACAGCAGCTGAACTGTGTGTTTGATCCTGTAGCACTGTGTCAATAAAGGGCTTGGGAGTACTTTCCAACGAGAAGGTAAAGAGGACATAGGAAGACTCAGTCAAAGAAACTGCATGCTGGAGTGAAGATATGTTCTGTGTGGCATTTGCAAGTTGAGAGATCTGTATTAATCCTGGTGACTATTTATATGAACTTGGTAATGTTGCATGGTGAAATCTTACTTTTATTCTTACTAAATAGACAATTTCAATAAATTGAGAAAGAGATACTTGGAATTCTTTTTGATGAAAATGATGCAGGTGATCGTCATAGCAAACAAGAAAGCTTTGGACTCAGGATTCTGGGATGGAGGTGGACTGCAGATTATTGTTTCATGATTTTAACCTAATGAGTAGACATTCTCATCTTAATGTGGCTTTGAGAATTTCCATTTGTGTTGATATGTGTTTGGAGGTATTTCAAGACTTTCTAATGTTGGAGACTGATGTATGAATTAAAAAGAGGATGAACAGTTATTCAGGCACTTGGCAGTCTTTTTCTAGAGCGTTACAAACCATGTGGTTTGGGTATGGAATGATACATAAGAGAACAATCTTAGGGGGTGCCTGAGGTAGGTGTTCTTTTTGGAAGCAGCTGTTTGCTAATAAAGAAATCAGGACTGACAGGCAGTTGGAAGTGTCATTCTTTCTGTGTGTTACCAGCGTCCCAGCCCAAAGTGGGAGTCAGAGGGATGTGACCGACTTGTGTGGAAATGGGGACTTGGCTCCTGTTGGCCTGTTGGTGTTCATGTGTGTTCTTTAAGTAGGCAGGCTTCAGGATTTATATAGGAACACTTCATACGAGCCTTCATATTGGACGGTGTTTTCTACCTTTATAGTAGAAGCTCCTTTAACCAAACCCCTTTTGGGGGGGATGTTTAAAGAGCTATGGATGGGGTAAGCAACTCAAAACCCCATAATACAGAGATAATGAATGCACTTGGGGAGGGCCTTGAATAGCGTTGTAACATGGGATGGTAGGGGAGTCGCAGAACGTGAGTCTGTCCTCAGGGGAAAGGAGTCTGTTCCATTCAGTTGGGGCCTCCAGCCACCTTAATCTTCTTGGACGTGCTGCAGAACCTCCTGAGCATGTGGCCCACCTCCTTCTGGAACCCCAGGGTCTAGCTAGCTGGCCCCAAATGCTTTCATCCCACTCAAGGTTGACTTACTGGGGGATCCCGAGTAACAGTGGTGACAGCAAATATTTTAGTTCCCGGCTGTAGATTTTAAACAGGGTACATCATTGGCACTGAGGGAGTAACTTTTAAGTGGAATTTTTATATCTTTTAAAATTTTCCTCTTAGGAGGAGAAGAGAGAAGAAATAGTTGTGTGTGATAACTGGCCATTTCAAGTGACCTCTTCGTTGTATGTTGGTTGATGACTGTTTTATGAATGCATTTGATTTATTTATGAATTATTTTCAGGAGACAAATAGAGCCAGTGTTGTGTGTGGAAAGAGCATGGGATTAGGAACTGGAGAGACCTGATTTGGGACCCGCCTGGGTCACTAGCTATGTAGCATTGGGGAGTGGCTTATGCTCTTGAGCTTCAATCTCTCCATGGGGCTGGGGGGATTCCTATCTTACTGAAGGTTAGATATGATAAAATGTCACTGAGGCTCAGCACGTGACCTCATACATCATGGGTACACCGTTACTGGAAGCTCCTTTTTGCTATTGATAAACACAGTTTAACGTAGCATATAGTGATGAGTTTGCTTGTATGTTATTTATTCCCTGCCAATTCTTCGTTAAGAGTAGTAGTCCCTTCAACTAGAAGTTGAACATATAATAGCCAATATATTTTAAATATTAGACTTATTTCAAATCAAAACAAAATGGACGAGTGAAATGAGGTTGAAAATTAAAAAGAAGTTCTTCAATTTATGTGCTATTTCAAGTGATAATTTTGGTGTAATATTTCCACATTAAGTGTGATTTTTGTTGAAGTTGGTGAAATTGCTGAGTAGAGCAGATATAGTTTAATGAGATACTGAAGCTCAGTGTTGCATTCCATCATGTGAGTGTACATCATGCATCATGAAGAGAATTTGACTGATCAGTGAATACCCAGTAATTTCTTCAAACTTTTACCACTTGTCTTTGGAAACAAATGATTTAATGCTGTGAAATCAAGGGAAGAGGAAATAGAATATTGAGAAGCTAAATATTACGATTGTTATTTCATTTGTCCAGTGGGGACATAAAAAATGGAAATTGAATCAATGCCAAAAATATGTCCAGGGTTAAAACAATAGGATGTGGAAGTTGCTGTCTTTTGGGCTTACAATCCCAAACTTTGAAGTGCATTAGGTGTCTGGTGGAATCCTAGCAGATTTCGTGCTGGCAGGCTGGGTTCTGATATTTATTAGAAACTTTAGTTCCTCTTTTGGAGATTCCAGTGGACACACGGATTTTAGTACAAGTAGGATGTCAGTGGAGTGATCTAACATTCTCCAAGTGGGCAAGTATGTGGGGTGTGGGGCTTTGACCTGGGAGGATGAGAGCCACCAGGTCTCAAAGGGTTCTCACAGAGGGTGAAGCAGGGTAGTGACCTGGCTAAACTTGTGGTTTCTGGAAACCAACAGCCTGGGGTCACGTTCTCTCTCTGTCTTGGTGATTTTTGGCAAATTACTTTACCTCCAGGCCTCTACTTCTCCATCTATAAAATGGGAATGATAACAGTGCCTGCCACATGGGGTGTTCCTGAGAGTAAAATGAGATAATCCACATAAATCAGTTGCATAGTGGGAATGCAGGGGCTCCTGTTTTCTTAGTCCCTTCTTTGCTTTCTCTGTCCTGAGGGGCACTCTGAGTCACACTTGTGGATAGGATAGTAAAGGCTGTGAGTGATGTTTTCTGAAGGTTTTTTCCTTTGCTTATTTGAGAAAGACATTTGCTCTTCAAAAAAAAATTTAAAGGAATGTAGGAGTCCTGGTAATTTTGAGCGTGATGTTTTGCAATCCAAACTCATGGTTAAATCCTGTTTGTTTTGTTTACAGGGAACACGGGTCTGGCTGAGAGAAAACGGCCAGCATTTTCCAAGTACTGTAAATTCCTGTGCAGAAGGCGTGGTTGTCTTCCGGACAGACTATGGTCAGGTGAGAACAAGCCCCTGCAGCTTCTTGACATCCGTGTTCTGCTTTGTAGATGTCTTACCCAGGGGCATGTGTGCCCCTATACACACTCCTTAAATTTTTTTCCTAAGCAGTAAATCACAATGCCAGTAGGAATGTAGAATGTCCACTTTGTGCGTGTGGCAGATGCAGTACACGTCTCCCAAATGTCGCACAGCAAGTGTTCCAACCAGTGTGGGACAGAAGAGCACAGCATTTGCCTGGTTTCCTTCCTGGCTATCTTTCCCACCTTCTTTCCCCTTTTCCAAGAATCAGTAAAATGTAGGAAAGTCTTATCACTGAAAATAAATATGTGACTTCAAATGCAGGTAATTTGAGAAAAAGTTTGAATATATTGATACTTGCTGATTACCTCATTACTTTCTCTTAACATTCTTAAACTTTCATAGGGCTTTAGTCCATTTGGGCTATGACAGAATACCACAGACCGGATGGCTTATAAGCAGCAGACATGTATTTCTCACAGTTCTGGAGGCTGGGAAGTCCAAGATCAAGGCACTGGCAGTGGGGTCCTGCTTCCTGGTTCACAGACGACTTGTCTTCCCTGTGTCCTCACTTGGTAGAAGGGGCAAGGGATCTCTCTGGAGCCTCTTATATAAGGGCCCTAATCCCATTCATGAGGGCTCTACCCTCACTTCGTAAGGATCACCCAAAGGCGCCAGTACCTGACACCAGTGCGTTAAGGATTAGGATTTCAGCATGTGGATTTTGGGGGGATACAAACATTCAGTCCATAACACCTGGAATGTTGAGACTGGCAAACCAATGAGAATTTAGGATGGTGATATCTCGATCACCAGAAGAACAAGACTAAACCACTTACCCTGAGCTTATTTATCTACCTTGTTAAGCAGCTGAAGAAATTTCTTCCGTGTATGGGAGTGCCATTGGTCTTGATTCCCATTCTTTAGTGTAAAATAAATGGAAAGTCATATCATTGAAAATAAATGTGAATCCAGAAACTGGTTCACCTGATTATATTTTGATGATTGTGAGAGGAGCCCAGCTTCTTCATGTTAACAAAGTAACCACTTTTAATGTTACAAATGGGCTCCTTCTTCAGAAGTGCATAGCAAAATTTAAAACATAAGGAAGTAAAAGGAAGTCATATGCCAGTATTTAAAACACATAGTTTATGAATTTAATTTGCAAGTTGTGTTAAGAACAAAAGCTTTAGGGTCAGTTTTCTGTAGTTCGAGGCAGATGGGCTACCTGGCTATCAAAACTTTTTAGCAGAGATGGTCCACTTGGTGGAACCTTTCTTATTTCTCGGTTTAAAGGTACACCCGTGTTTTGTAGATGCGTATTTGGGGGGTGCAGAGAGAGATCACTTGTCAAGCGGTCACTGGCAGTGTGAACACTACCGTGAAGCCCAGTCTGGTTTCTTTCCCATCAGAGTCTCAGGTGGTGTGATATGATCTGTAAACTAAGGACTGAGTGAATGAATTTTGCTCAACTTTATGGTCAGGCACTGCTTACATGTTTAAATTCCTGTGTAGGATTGTTCAGCGCACTGGCAGTGTGAACACTACCGTGAAGCCCAGTCTGGTTTCTTTCCCATCAGAGTCTCAGGCGGTGTGATATGATCTGTAAACTAAGGACTGAGTGAATGAATTTTGCTCAACTTTATGGTCAGGCACTGCTTACATGTTTAAATTCCTGTGTAGTATTGTTCAGCATTTTTCTGTCTTGCCATCATTTTGCCTGTATTCCCTTCTGACTTTCCTCAGATGAGAAATCATACATACTTGTCAAGATGATGTGAAAAGGGAAAATAGTATTAAAACAGAGTAACTCAATGAACATCATTGTGTTCTGGAAAGCTTTGTAAAATAGATTTCCAATGGAACTCAATATTTCATTGACTTATACTTTCATCCCAACAATGCTGTCTTTTTATTTATTTATTTTTAACATTTTTCTCTTTTTAAAACAAAATGTGATTAAAAAAACTTGTGACATTGACTTGACCATCTTGTCCATTTTTAAGTATACAGTTCAGGAGTGTTAAGTGTATTCACATTGCTGTGAAACAAATCTCCGGAACCTTTTTATTCAGCAGCACTGAGACTCTTTACCTAACACACAGTGATTTCCTTGTCCCCTCCTCCCAGCCTTTGGTAGTCACCTTTTTTACTTCCTGTGTCTGTGATTCTGACTACTTGAGATACTTATCATGAATGGAGTCTTACAGTATTTGTCCTTTTGTGACTGGCTTATTTTGCTTAGTAGAATGTCCTCAAGGCTCTAAAGATGCGTTCTATTCCTGTCTAACTAAGCCTTGCTTGGAGAGGCTCCTAACGTGACAACTCTGCAGTGAGCAGTCTGCCACATGCAGCCCTTGCCGTTGACTTGTGGTCAGCAGTGTGTGCCACGTACAGTCCTTGCCGGCTGCATTCGATGGGCAGCTCTCAGTGTGGGGAATGGGATAGGATGGGGTGGTCAGGTCAGTAGTTCTATTCATTTTTGACAGTATTTACGGATTGTGGGTTTAGAAAGAACTAAACCAGAATAACATGTACTGAACTTGAATGTGAAAACAACACTGAACCTTGACTTCTAATCTTCAGTCGGTCATCGAATACTTACTTGTTTTATCTTGTCCACTCTATCATTTCCAAGTATAACAAGTATACTTAGCTTGGTGATTTGTGTAGAAATTGCAGGGTTTACAATATGAAAAAAATGAGGCAAGATTTAAGAGTTGGGTTCAGGTTTGGACCAAGAACTGGCAGTGGCCAGAAGACTCCAGTTTCTTTCTCTACTGACCTATTTAGTCTTTCCCTCCTTTTATCACAAATTCACTGTGGAACATATGGGAATAGTCACCAAGGTTTAGGAGAAGTTCATTAATTGGTCCTGGTGCCCAGGATAGAAACACCTACTGTTTTAAAAGCTCTTCAAGTAGGCAGGGATAGATTCTTGAAGGAATCAGGGTCAGAGATTTAGAGCATGGCCTTGTCCTGGTCAAGCCTATCCATGGTAACTTTTCAAGGTAGTGGTTAATTTTGACCCAATTTGGTATGTTATTAAAGGGTGTTAAGATATTGGTATTTCTTGAGGAAGGGGAAAATGGGAACTTAGTGTTTAATGGGTATAGAATTTCAGTTTTAGAAGATGAAAAAGTTCTGAAGATAGATGGCGGTGATGGCTGCACGACAATATGAATATACTTAATGCCCCTGAACTCTGCACTCAAAATACTTAAGTTATAAATTTTATGTTAGTATACGTATTTTATCACACACATAAGATATCAGTGTTTGAGGTCAAAGGTAACTGGCAAAAATTGTCAAATGGCTATTTGTCTGTATCTCTAAAAACAATTCTAGTGAAATTTTTGTTACCCAAATATGACCTCTTAGAGCCCATAAACAGTTAACAGAACTATTAGTGAATTTTCCTTAGCTTTAGAGCAGTGCCTCTGAAACTTTAATGCAGACTGATGCCCTGGGGATCTTGTTAGGATGCAGATTGTGAGGGGCAGGTTTCTCACATGCTCCCTGGTGATGCTGATGTTCCTGGACCAACCACAGTAGAGGAGTGAGGATTTAGGAGATAGTCCTGAAAAACACCTTAGGGTCTTGGTTACCTAAAATGAAGAGCAGGAAACCTTCTCAGAGGGTTATAGGTTATAGGTTATAGGTTATACAACCTATAACACTTGTACTACTGTTTTGGGAGAAGCAAAAATAAAGACAAGAGGAGGGCTTTGGGTAAAATTAGAAAATTTTTCTCCGGCCCTTCAAAGCTTTTCCTTTTTTCTTTCCCATTCTCTGTGCCCTTCCTTCCAGCAAGCATTTCACTGAGAGTGTGCCAGGGTCTGGGCTGACTGCAGTCTAGGCATTCTCCTGTTTAGTGTTAGACACCAAGCAGAGCCACTGTAACTAAAATCCTAAAGTGGGACCTCAGGGACACTGGGTTGGGAAGAGTGTATTGTTTTGTGTGAGATCACGAAAGGGCACACTTTCAGTCTCTATGAGAATTTTGCACATTCACTTAGCTGTTCTTTTTTTTGCCAGGGAGATAGTTTTAATGTTAATTTAAAGTTTCATTCCACTCTAAGATTTAAACTACTGTAGGTTGGTGCTAGGAATACAGAGGAACCCAAATGTTCCCATTTGACTCATAACTTCGACTCGCTCGCTGTGAAGTATTTGCAGATGGAAAAAGAAATGAGCAAATGACACGCTTACACACTTTGTTGAAACTGCATAGCTGTGGCCTCCGGAGGCCACGGCACACAGGCAGGTCAGCGCAAGTTAGAAATTAGTTGTCTTCTTGGACAGAAAGCTGTGGACAGAGTTTTAGAAGAGCAGATTTTTAAGAGCACCACAGTTCTGCAGGGGGCAGATACAGCTAAAAGATCAACTCCTGTGAGAGGGTCAGAGGGAAGGAAGACAGCACTGAACATTTGTCTTTCTGGGACATTCAGGAGGCACACAAGCAATCACTATAGCATCCTGGAGGAACATCGTAGAATTGAGTAATAAATTCTAAATTAGATTTCTTACTTTGAGAGTTTGAACTATTTTATTATCTTTTTCTGGAAAGAGTTTAATTTGATTGCTCTGAAATTGCTTAGAGTGATATCAGTTTGCCTAATTGTATTTTAAGGGGATAGTCATTTAACATACCCCAGTAAACTTATCAAGGCAATTACTCTGTGCAGTCATTCTGTTGGTTTTCTGTTTGAATTGTCTCTATAAGAGGTCTTTGAAAGTATTTATTGGGTGGGGATTTCATCACCCAAATCTGCAAGTAGCTGCCCTTATCAAGGCAATTACTCTGTGCAGTCATTCTGTTGGTTTTCTGTTTGAATTGTCTCTATAAGGGGTCTTTGAAAGTATTTATTGGGTGGGGATTTCATCACCCAAATCTGCAAGTAGCTGCCCTTCTCCATGCCCTTCTCCTTTTATTTGCAACGAGTGTAATTAGACTTTGTTTTAAAAGTAATTCTTCTA